AACGGAACGCAACTGCGCGGGGACAGGAGCATATGTAGACACCTCAAAATGCATTGGCTGCTGATATGGTTCTTGGGCAACGAAGACATCTTCCTTTGTAAGCATACGATGGAATTGCTGCTCACTAACGTATGCGGGTGTGCCACTATCACAAATTCGTAGTCGTGGATATTCTTTTCCATCTACGGCAACTACATTGAGAAAAACAGATGCGTGGAAAGGAAGAGACATATCGATTTTCCTAAGGGGAAGAGCCTGTAACATATTTCTAGTCTCAAAGCGTATGTACGCTTTGCAAGTGACACACCCCGCTCGAAGGTGCGTACACACGTTTCATTGGACTTTTGCAAGTTTCATATGCTGCTCGATATGCGAATTCCTCAAGAGGAATAACCTTTTCTCCCACTTGAACTTGACCGGCTGGGATTAAGGCACCTATCGTCCGCCAGTTAGTGACACGTTTATTTTTTATTTTTTTTTAAGAAGTTAAACAATTTTTTTTTATGTAAAACTGTACAGCAATTGCGACTTGCCGAGAGGTTCAACTTTTCACAGCAGACCTTGGGGATTTCCGAAGAAGGTGTATGGTGCATTTGACCTTCTTAGAACACGTTTTTCAATACAATATTTATTCAGTGTCCCGAGAAGCGCTTTGTCAGCAAGTGTCACAGAGAGCATTTTCCCTATACCGATTTATCCCACTCCTTTTACTCTTGACCCTATCAGCGATGTTTTAAAAAGAGTTAAGAAAATGGGAATGCCGCCATCAGCTTAGACAGTTTTCTTTAAATTACATACGTCCACATTACCTGCAAGACTCACCTCCAAGGAAAAGGAATGGTTGTACATTGAACTGTGAAATGGTGGCTATGTAGTAAGCCAGACATAATCCGGCATTGTTTTATATATTGCAGTGACACACTTTTATTTTGGGATTTACTGCGATGTACCACTACAAGAAAAGACCTAGTTCAAACAGATTACTGCCTGCGCTTCCCCCCGTTTTCAGAAAACGAAAATATACCGTATGATATGTTCGCGCCAATAGGGCTTAGGCCTATATGGCAATGCAGAATGATTGACCGACACGCAGGAATGCCCCATATGGCCAAATCTAGTTTTGAAACTACACTCCAAAAAAAAGCCCGTGAGTCTGCTTTCCCGCACAACGCTCGGAGAGCCAATCACCGCAACTTACGAAGGCAGCTCTGCGAATGTCAATGCCGAAACAAACGTTTAGACCCAAAAACGCAGTCTGAGTTGTGACATTAAGCAATGCAAGCGTGACGTTTTGAATTGCTTGACGTCACAGCTCAGACTGCGTTTTTTGGTCTAAACATATGTTTCAGCATTGTCATTCGCTGAGCTGCTTCCGTAAGTTGCGGTGACTGGCTCTCCAAGTGTTGTGCGTGAAAGTAGACGCACGAACTTTTTTTAGAGTGTAGTGACAAACGTTAGGAGCGTTTTGTCGGTTCTAAATTCAGCCAACCATTTTTTTTATTCTTTGATTCATGTCTACGCCTTCTCTAATTCTGAACAACAGTCATTCCGTTTATTTGCGAGTAGTAGATTTTCTGAAGTACAAATTCAATTATTTCTCAACTCTGATTTGGTATACTGCTCTGTGAGCAGGTCGCATGTGTAATATAAGATGCCTAATATATACGCGATGTCTGAGCTTGTAAAACAGATCGTATTTGTACTTGTCTGTGTGTGTACCAAGAAATGAACGCCTTAATGAATGTACTTTTCTGCCTTTATCTACCACGTAATAAAGATATAAAAAGAAAACGAAGTCTGCGTGGCCTAGTGGGTGGCATGTCCGGCTCGCCACCGGGGAATCTTGGATTCAATCCCGCCACCACCTAAAAGTCTTCGCATTTTCATTAGGTAAATGAATTACTTATAGAGAAATCAAAATTGCCCCGCCCCACCATCGCCGACGCCGGCTTTCCTGAACAACGAGCTCCTTAAAGCTGTTGCTTTGAAACCTCCGATCAGTCATTACGTCATAAAAGAATACTTCAGCCGCCAAGCACGTGCCGCTGACGTGGGCACTGCACGTAGTTGTAAGCTTGCCAGGTATAATCCCCCGCGCTGACACCAATCGTGACGTCTCTTTTTTTTCTTAAAGGGGTCATGAAACGATTTTCCTACTTCTTCCTCCTTAGCTTTAATCCTCAACTCAAATGCGAATTGTGAAATCACGTGGTCGTGACATTCCTTCGGCACCGGTGCGATGACTCCTAGCTTCCACCGTGCTTCTTATGCACACCATAGAACTTGTCATTCCCCAGTGACGATAAGTTCCGTCAGGGCACTCATTAGCCACGAACGCGAATCCAAATATTCGTCGACAGATTGATTGTTGACGAGCGCATACGTCCGAGTGACGCAGTTCTCGTGTCCAATGCGTGATCTGGACTCTGCTGACGTCAGTTTGGCGCCGGTGACGCGCTTTTGGAACCGCGGATGCATCATAGTGAAAAGGCGGAGAGCTTTCAAAGGCAAGAAGGTACAAAATAGTCCGCTATATATTCAAATTTTCGTACCGAAAAGCTGGCTTTTGACTTTCTAGCCTCTTTCTTTTGGCCAACTAAGCGATATGCGATTAGTAAAGTTCCAATTTAAAATCATTCATCCCAACCCAAAATTTGTTTCATGGCCCCTTTAATATAGCAAGAGTGAGCGTGCTTAGCCTTAACAGGAGCTGAAAGTGCGGGAGAGTGGAAATTCCAAAAACTTCTTTTATGACGTATCGCTCCGGGAGGGCGAAGCTTCAACGGTACTTTAAAAAAATATTTTATGCAGCCTCCGTGCATAAAATTTAAAAATAGCCTCAATATATGTGATCTTAGAGGCAGAATGAAGATGAATTAAGTGTTTTTACTCAAGTACAAGAGCGCCTCAACTTCCCATTAAGATGTGCGTCGCGGAACCATTTCGATCGCCTTTTATTTAAACTGGTCTGGTAAAAGCGAGCGAGTTGAACATGAATACTTAAAATTATGGGTGTGCAATTGATCAATTAACGTACCGATTAATCGATTAACGCTTTAATCGCGACTAATTTTTAACAGGTTAATCGGTGAAGCATTGCGTTATTGAAATAACATCAAAATTCAACGCTTTCACTACGCAGATCTTGACTAGTACACCTGTATGAAGGGCAAACATTAGGTAACTTCCCTAAGCCTAAAGCCCTAAAGCACACTAAAGCAAACTTGAGGAACGAAATTTGTAACTCCAAACAATTGCACAAAGTTACACGTGGCTCGGCCACTTCGGCGCTGTTCGAGTGTCTGTTTAGCGCAACAGATCTAGACTATTGTGAACAATCAAAGAAGGTCGCTCTTGCCGGAGAATGTCATCGAACCTCTCTGCCTCATGCAGCTCAAGTAATCATCTGTGAGTGCCAGTGTCTTGGAACTGTTTTCAACTGCACACTAGGGTTGATTTTAAATCAAATTTTATATTTCTCCGTTTGTCACATATTCAATGATGGCACATACACAAACACAATTGTTTTCCTTTTTTATATATTATGCACGGAAATGAAAGAGAACAATTAATCGATTAATTAATCGATTAGAGGCTTCCAATTAATCGGATTAGAGGATTTATTTAACGACCAGCCCTACTTAAAATTGAATGAAAAAAGCACAAGACACAAGCACAGGACAACCACGTTCTTCTTCTGTGTTTTATACTTTCAATTTTAAGCTTCATTAGATCTTTTACCTGTTTTACAAAAACGAGAAAGGGCATGAAGCCACGACTGCCTGTCAAACGTTTTCAGAAACGTTTTTTTCCCCGTCAGGTGTTTTCAGTTCAGTCACAGGAATTGCAATAAAAACTAAATGCTCTATTTCTATTACCTTCATCACACGTCCAGTTCTAATGCATCACTTACTTGACTGTGACAAAGCTGTCGAGTTGGTTGCTGTAAATCGCACAACAGCAGAGAGGCCTATCCAACAAATGCTTTCGGCATAGTCACGCAGGAATTTTATTTGAGTCGCATCAGGGGCTATTGCGGTGGCATTGCGACTGAGAGCGTACCTTATGCAGCACATACGATGATATCACCTTCAAGCCATATGTGCCTTTAGCGAGAGAGCTTCTTATAGCTACTTGGTGGAAAGACCTTTTTCGTTTACTCACGTGCCCGGCCACCTGGCAGGCATATTAGGTATGGGCGACGAAAAAAGAATAAAATATTTCGTCTTGCATATAGCAAAAAAAAAAAAAAAAAATCGAGGGGTGGCAAAACGAGAATTGGTGACGATTAGGCTTATACACTGAATGTCTTCTATTGTGTGGCGACGACGAAACAATGTTTTCGACGATATTGGAAGATGCGACATTCAAGATGGCGGCGCCCTTGTGCGAAAGGTCGATATATACCTTGAAGCAATTAGACCCCCTCCCCCTTTTCCCATTTTACCAACCACGTGCTTCAAATGTGGAACTAAAAGTATCTTCAACATATCCTCCAATCGATCGCTTAGAGAATCAATTGCCTTTCTATTTCATTTCAGCATTGTTGCCAAAAATGTGATGCTCCTTCTTGTTTTTTTCGAGTCACTACCATTTTTTGTTTGCATATAAGTATATTTGACCTGTTGTATTAGTTTCAGACAACAATGAGCTCATCTCGGACGCATCATCGTCAAGTAGGAGCCCTAGGATCTATTAAGTGCCCACATATTCCCAAGAACAAGGTATTGTATCCCAAAACACCGAGCAGCGTGCAAAATGTACGTCAGGATGCATTCCGCATGCCACTGTCCGCGCGGCATTTCGCTACTTCGTATGTTTTGTATTGTACAGAAAGGCAGTATCTTCATGAACTTTCTTGATCATCCAGCGTTAACTGCGACATATACTTATAGTAAGTCTGATATCTTCCATTCTACATAATTTTTCATCTCATTCGAGCCGTTCACACCGTAGAGACAAATGCACACGAGACGTTTAGTTACAAAAGCAAAACTGTGTCATCAGAAATTTTCAGCAGTTTTAATCTCCGAAAATATAAAAGTGTGAAATCAAAAACCGAACCATGTTACATTCGAAACTTGGGAATCTGGCGTAACCACAAAGTCGCCAACGTATCGAGCGCGTGTTCACATCATGCTCGTAAATCACATGATGCCGTGCTTTCTCCAGACATCAATAAGATCCGTATGAGAAAGCTTCTGCATAATCTTGTCTTCCATCCTTTTGTGCATTTCGGGGGTTAGGTACTGCTTACAGTCCCCAACAATGCCTTTTCGGATGAATCCTGTTGATTTCGGGTACCGCTGCGCCAACTCGTGGAATGTTCTTATCCCAACTGGGACGTTGTTGTCTTTCAGGGGTTTCGTGAAGAAGTTCTTGATGTTTTCCGTACCGTATTCTCTCATAGACTTTATGTCACTGTACTTAAGAACGTTCTGCAAAATGTTCTCGTTTTCCTTCAGCATGTTGTAGCAGTCGTTATTTATAAACTTTGCAATATTGAGAACGTACTTCCGTGGATTTTCCTTGATGTCCTCATAGTTGATAAAGAGGACGTTAGGGTCTCCTCGATGAGCATACCAGGACGACACGTGCTCAAAGTAGTCTCCGAAATCGTTTTCCCCTTCCATGTAGATGTCGAAGTAGTCTTCAAACTTTCCCTCCGCAAACTCGTAGGCGTGGAAGCCTCGGGTGTGATGGAAGTAGGAAACGCAAGCGTCTTTTGGGTTTCTGCAGACGTAAAGATACTTCGCTTCAGAATGCTGGGGCAAGAGATGGTAAGGGAGGTGCGTCTTGATGAGTCCAGGTCTGGTCATATCTTCAACAGCCTCGGCGCCGAACATCTCGAAGAAGGGGCTGCGCCGGTAGAAGTCGAGGCCACTCGGTGGTGGAACTCCCTTGCTTAGAATGAGATATCCGATGTGCTGGACCCACGTTGTCCCACATTTCGGGTAGGTTACCACAAAGATGTCGTCTGGTCGTGGCTGGTACTTCAAGGCGCTTCGATACAGCTCTGGCTTGAAATACTTGTTCAGGCGGAGACCATCAATATCCCTGTATGCAGGACGGTTGCAAATTCGTATTTCCGTTTCCATGATGACTCGAACCGGACGTCGGCGTAATTGAATGTTCCTTGTATGTGGTTTCCGGGAATTCTTTCGGATTGGCAATCTGTGTTGTTATTCTGAAACAATAACACAAACACAAGGGAAAATTGTTAGGGTACACGTGGCTTGCATTTTGAGGAAAAAAATGCAACGCAGTTTAAACGTCGGCACAAGTGAGGCGTGTTGACAAGGAGTGGTTCCCATTTAAGCCTGTTCTCGTTTCGACATTCTCGTTCGGGGATTTCTCAAAAGGTCAATTTTAAAAACATCTTTCTCAATCCTCCCAGGAAAAAAAAAAATTTAATCCGGGCGTTTCAAGGCGACAGTATCCTGGCTTGGTCGCCGCACTTTATCAAAGAAGCTCCTTCGAGTTCGCCCCTCCCTCCTCCCAACTTGCCTAAACGCAGACATGCTTTGTCACCCGGTTTAGCTAATGGTTCCTGGAATACGTCGCTTCTGCTCTTGAAACATGCAGCGAAGGTCAGGAACCGTTCGTTGGGTTGTCCGGAAGTGCTCGCAAGCACTGTGCAATTAAACACCAAACCGCGCCTTTGTGTCAAAGCGCGGCTAGTGTGTCACCCTTTCATCGGCTGCGGGTATGTGCACTCGTGTGTGGATCTCCCTCCCCCCTCCCCCCGCTTCCTCCTTCCTTACAAACACACACACTCCACAACCTACAAGCCGTCGAAGTCTATCCAGGGCTTAGAATGTACGCGTTCCAGTTGATCGTAGCGGGAGCGGAACCAAATCAGAGTAGGCCCTAACGTGAAAAAAACCGTGGGGGATGTTTTGAGAAGGTTCAAAGGAGACTTTTAGTTTGAGCTTCGACCACACAAGAAAATCTGCAGAAAATCATTATACTACCAAACAAAGTTTAGGAGAATAGTAGAAAATGTTTCATATCACTATAGCACACACTCCTTATTTACAAAGTAAAACGTAGTGCCAATAAAAAAAAATTATGATTTCCGATTTTCCAGGCAATGCAAACAAGAAACGAGAAATAACACGATTTTGACACCATTTAGGAAACCTAAGAACCCACGCATGCTACAGCATATAACGCGCGAAATAAAGAACCTGGTAAAATATACACCTACAGAACAGCGTATGGCTTAGAAATATTACAAAACAAAGTGCCAAGATTATTTAGTAATTTATAAGGCAAAAATACCCTGCCATAATCTATTTCTTTTAAGAATACTACGCAGCTTTTTCAAGATGCCTTGAACTTCTATCTTTGCACAGAAAGGGGTATCTTGTTTTCTGGAAGCTCTGTTAGTTTATCTTTCAATGTTTATTTTATTTTTCGCGGATCAAAAGTTTTCCGTCGACGCCATATTGCCACGCGTGTCGCCGAGCAAGTGCTGCATGCGTGCCCGAATGGTTACCCTGCTAGACTAACGCGCGGAAGGTCTGGGTTCAATTCCAGTCAGCGGAATGTTCTTCTATTTATTCTTTCAACTTTTCTTTTTTGTAAGTTCGATAACATTCTCGTCTGATCGATTTTCGAATGTTCTACGTGCCGATTGTTCCAGAAACCCACGAGGGTACATAATGGACTCCGCATGGCGAGCGGAGTCTGTCTCGCTCGAGTGCTCGAACCTGCTGTTTCGCTCACATCGATGACTCCGACGGTAACTTACTTCTATTTTGTTTTGGGCACAAGTTCGCCCCATTAAACTTTCGGTTTCTTCAGTTATTCTTCGCCTCCTCATTTGTCATTCGTGACAATAGAGCTTGTTTACCTGTGTGTGTGTGCGCGCGCGTGTTTTTTTACCTTTTATGTTTGCTTTGACTATAGTATTCTTAGTCAGGTCCTTATTATTACCCATTATCTTTGTTTACTGCCAATATCGGGACTGTCTTTGCGTATTTTATATATTATATATCATTCATGAAGTGAATCTGCCAGTGTGGGGGCTTTCAGCTTTGTCAAGCTGTCAATAAGAGGGCTTTTCTTCTTTTTTTTCAGCACGTGCTTAGCATTAAGAACGTTATTTATGCAAATTAACTTATTATTATTATAATTATTATAAGGTCCGAGAAGAGTGAAATGAAATGAGAAAGGACAAAATGCTAATGAGATGTTTTGAGGCACACCCGTTTTCCAAGTCAGCGTAATATGTGAGTATAGTCCTGCATGCTTCTGAGTGTTGGCTCTCTAGTCTCTGTGCTGTGTGTTTAGGCACACACGAGAGCTGGTTTGAATGATACTCAAGACGAAGCCACATGCTTTCAGAGCAGTGCAGCACGGGATTACAGCACTGTAAAAACTGCGCTAGCCTCGATAAAGTAGCACTGGAATATTCTGTAGATCTGACGAAAAGAGGTGTGCAGAATTTACACGAAAAAGATCTCTGCTCAAGTGTTTGCGTTAAGTGAATCAATAAAGACCTATACGGCGTGTCTCCCGAAAATATTTAGAGCGTTGTTGTTGCTGTTGTTTTCCATCGCAGAAATAAAGTGCACTCTAACGAACGCTCAGTCTCTACACAAATGTGGCGCTAGCGATCCGGACCGGATGCCAATGTTTCAGAATTAACCACCATCTTTTTCGAAAGATTTAAGCGATTTTTTGTTTTATTTCAGCAGAAAATTAGGATTGTTCTTGATAGCTGACGTCTTTCAGCTCCGTGTAGTTATGGGGCGTCGTTGGCTGCCAAAGTTTCCGAAAATCGCTTATAATTTAAGAAATCAGAAACAGCGAGCCCTCAAAAAAGACGATGACAACGAGAGTAAAGCACAGGACGAGCGCTGAATGTCAACCGAAGTTTATTAAAAACGGCTCAAACAAGAAAACACCACAAAGCCAACTGACGTCGTAACAACCAATGGCGTGTCGCTCAACCCGTATCTATGAAGTCTATTTTTTTGTGTGTGTATGTAGATAAGTTGAAGTCTGGCTCACGCAGTGCACTGAGCCAGCTTTTTTTATTGCATGCGCATCTAGCACCTCTCTTTGGACATTTGTACACCCCTTCCAATGATTACGGTATCTTCGAAGATAGGGTGACACAGAGAGTCTCTGCAGTGTGATAGAAAAAGCTGGCTCGGGGCACTGCGTCAGCCAGTCAGCCAGCCTTTAATTTATCTACACAAAAAAGAGATAGATTTTGTAGATGCCTGGTGAACGACACGCCATTGGTTGTTACGGGGTTGGTTGGCTTTGTGGTGTTTTTCTTGTTTGAGCCGCTTTTAATGAAACTTTAGTGGAAAGTCAGCGCTCGTCCTGTGCTCTACTTTCGTTGTCCTCCTCTTCTTTGCACGCCGTTCCTAATTTCTTAAGTCATTAACCAACTCGCCTGCATCGCCACCTTAATTTCGCTTATTACTTACGCACCAGATAATGGCAAGCTCCGAATCTCCAGAATCTCCTTCGGACAGCTAGCGCCACATTTTGGCGTCCTAAATTGAGTAGCTTATTTTTTGCGGTGCAAGAAACAGTATCTTTGGGGGAGGGGAGGGGGCGGGACACCGCACGATTTTTTATGTGTGAATTAATTTAACTGCGCACAGACTGTAAGATAGAGCACATCATCCGGGTGGAACACCAATTAGCAGACCCCAAAGTCCTCCTGGCCATAAAGGCTAGGCAGGGTTGGCCCGGAATTGAATACGCAAATGTATTTTTAGAAAGCCTCGCTATAGCTGCCCGTTCAGTAATTTCTTTGTATATACTCGGGCGCAACAGCACAACACCTGTTTCGTCTCGTGCTATTCTCAGCGCAAGTTTGTCTGTTTCTTCCGCAGGAGTTGCACTGACATCCGAAGGCCAAACTCTGATTGGCTCTGATAGATGGATAGTGTGCAGACTTTAATGCTAGCTGCCTTGAGGTCCACCCATTGTCCTTCCAATCAGAGCCAATCAGAGCTGGGCGTTTTGATGTCACCGTAACCCCTGTTCGAGAAGCAGACGAGCTTGCGCTCCTCATAGAAGAAACCATGGGTGCGACTCATGGAAGTCAGAAAATATATGCGACTCAACCGAATATAGTTTAGGTGAATTGTTTCCTTTCTCTGTTTTGGGCAGAGAAGAGGCCGCATTGATCCAGTTACACACTACGCGAACAGAAACGTTAGTTTGGTATTCTTATGTTGCTAACGATTGCAACCACCGTGTTTTAGTTACTGTTTGCTCGATCTTGCGTTCCATGTGTGTGTGCTGTGCCAGTGCCGATGCTGTCGCGCGACGACTCGTGGCGACCGCGTGCGGGCGCTATGTAAAAAGGTCTGCCTACAAAACCTAGATTTGATATATATATAAAGAAAGTAAGAGAGACAGCAAATCAAACCATGGAAACATTTAGTAATTTAATGGTGGATGCCTCATTAGTAGACTTCTCTGAAGTGAGCATGCGTTGGGATGCCGCGCGGTGAAGAACAATGCGGGCGGAAAGACCGAGAAGCTTGCAAACGAGGCACGCTTTTCTGGATTTATGAAACCTCGCTAAAGCAAACAGTGGTAGTGGTAAATAGGTATTGACACGAAGCAGATCTATCCCTCCCTTTGCTCCCCGAAACGCGCATCACGTGGTACAACGTAAGGGCTACGCTGACACTGACATACCAGGGGGGATGGGAAAGCTTTTGCTCGGGCTGCACAGCCATTCCTCGCCTTGGCGCGAGATCTGTTCGAAATTGGCGGTATTCTGTCGCTTGTAAGGCAACTTTACAGAGTTCGCTCAGCGGGATACCAAGCGAAAGCTTGAGCTGCGGTGCCTCCTGGGTTCGATCCCCGCCACCTGTGGAGGCGTACTAGCATCAAGGCTGTCTAAATATGCAAGCAACACAATTTTTAGTGGGATAGCGGCGGTGTCATTGGGATCGCGTTACTTGTTGTGGCTTCCGCTGTTGCGTATGTCGATAGGCACCAGAAGGAATTTTCGATAGTGTGGGAGCCACTGCTTTCCCTCCCCCAATGCAGCCGTAGGCCGCGGACGTGCCGGCGGGAGCCGTCTGGCTTCACCCGCTGGTCTACTTTCCCACACTCCTCCGCGCGTCTCCCTTTTGCGGGGGACCGGCGAGATTGCGCGCGTGAGCAACACCTCCTAGAAGCTAAGGCCGCAGTGCTCCAAGTCATGCCGTCAAAATGGCCGGAAAAGGGAGGCCATGTGGAGAAAAGGCGCCCAGTCTGGATCTCTTCCCCCTGGCTGCTTCGTCTGCTCGCTCAGGTCACGTGGTTGGTTCGCGCGCATATATCTGGCATTAATATACGTTTTAAATGCAGTCTTGTATAATTTATTATATATATAGTATAAAAAAATAAACGTAATATGCAACGCGTTACCAAGGTTGAAGGTACCTAATTTATTTTTATTATTATGCCGTAACCTGTTTTTTTTTATTGCTGCGGGACCGCACTGCAGTCCCGCAGCTCCCCACCCTTTTCGAACGAACCGGCTCCGGCTGCGACATTTTCTTCCGTCATACGGGCTCCGATTCCGTTAGATTTGCCTTGTGTGTGAGCTGCTGACTGTCTGAAAAGGAATGCCAAGCTCCCAAACTGCAGTTCCTCCGTAGAGCCAACGCGATCAGCTGATGACCAACATCAAAATCCTCGAAAGCAGACGCAACCAATCGAGCGGCGACCGGCCGTCATTCGGCCGAGCAGATCGTTCCTACTGCACCCTGCTTCTCGAGCTCTAGCAACTTTTCTTGCGCATTTGCGCTGTAAGCTTGACGTATCATAAGATCAGCATAGCCTTCAGCACATGCTTGTTTCCCTCTGTAGTGAATTGGTGCGCGTGCACACTCGTCTTTTCAACAAACAAAAAAATCGCTGGAGGTGACATTTTTATTGCTGATCTCATGTTGCGAAAGATATTTTCCTATCGGATCTCTCCGCCGGGAGGCCAGTATAGCAAGGTCCTGTTCGTAAAATTCACATGACAACGAACGTTTCGATTAATGTCACGGCCGCTTGATCGTGTGGCCGTGCTTAGCAGAACAACCTGAAGGGCGAGAAAAACAATTGTCTCGCTTACTCAGTGTACTGTGCGGTTAGTATAGTTTATGTGGTTTTGATTGGGAATCTAGAAGTTTACTCCGGGGTTCTCCGTGTTCTTGACAGTTGACAACGCGACGGTACCGTCGATGTTTCGAACGCATCGAGGCCACGCTGCATTGCTCCCGGTTTCGACATGCTTGGATGAAGGAATAATTATTAGCATGCCGCGAGCTCGGGTCCCCGCTTTAACGTTGTGCGGTGACTACTACGACTGACACGTTTTGAGTCGTGACCACGGGAACACAAAAATAACAGCTGCGTGCAAAAGTGAAAAGCCTCCCGATCACGTTTGTTATTGTCTACGTTACTAAAACACTCAGTTGGGAAACTCCCATAGAGACAGCTTTGAAAAAGTGGCCCCAATCTGTCTCCGAGCACCGAACTAATGACGAACTAATGCCACCATTTCTCCCGCAGCGGCCACTCGAAGAACCGCACATTACTTCTATTTAGGCTTTAAGAACAGATACAGTGGATAGAGGTTACAGGGGTGCCACCCCCGTCGCCCCGGCGGACGTGCCGCGTTTGAACTACCGAAGTTAAAATGCACCTAAGTCGAGACGCGCTACCTTTAAGGACCGCTGAGGCATGGTTGTATAAAAACAATATTAATTGTGCCGCAAAACCCTTCAAACTAAAAATTTTAAAAACATAACGCGCCCCTCTTTTTGTTCTAATCTCCAATAAATTTCATACAAAAAGAGTCTTTTCCGTTTGTTTTTACGCAAAAACAGGCTTTCAAAAAGCTCAAGATAACCACAGTACTGACAAATGATAAAGGGTGGCGCATTTAGCTCGGTCTCGGTGGACACCAGCGGCCCAGGTTTCGACGGCGAGTTTCCCAACTGAGTGTTTTAGTAACGTTGGTTATTGTGCAGGGCCGCGGGAGTTGTACTATTCAGACACTCTTTCGCCTGCCACCAGAGGGCGCCACGATACGTTCAAAGTGGAGATTACCACCTCCAGCGGCCCGCATAGGCCGTCTGTCGAGGAAACAAGGAGACGATTAGAACTCTGGTGGTAAAAGATCTACCTTAGGGGGCAATAACACGCAACTTCCCCCAGGCTTGGGCATGATTATTGTTCGAGCCCACCCGATCTAAAGGAACAGCCGCATCATCATCATCATCCGTTTCAGCGCAAGAGGCCTATTATTCCGACTGGCGATGACCCAATACTAGCGATTCCCTTAGCTCTAACAGTCGGTGTTCCCGAGCGGACGTCGGTCTGCCGAGAGCTCTGCAGCCTGAACTGCTGTGACGACGGGTGGTAGCGTGAGCTCGGCCCACCGGTGATGACTGTGCTCGCGATCCTCTTTGGCTCTCAGGTCAGCGAGCACTGTGGGCACCCCGTGTCCACGGCTTGCTCGACCGCAGTATCTTGTTAGGGTCTCTTGTTTCCAAATATACGCTGTTAGATACCGGGATCATAGCTTTTGACATGGCTTTGGCGAACCCGGCGCGGTGATCGCCCTTGCTGGTGGACGTCAGCCGCGCGGTGGGGACGGACATCGGGTTCCCCTTTGAGCACCGCTCCCCGGACGTGAAGGTAAGTAATCCACCACAAGATTCATCAATGCCGTCCTCAAGCAACACCTCCTATACAGATTTTAAAGCCTACGCGTCACGTGACATGACGTCACGACCTAAGAACGAAGGGCGAGGGTAAGACGGGCCGGAGAGGAGGAAGCAGACGGAACGCTAAAGAGAGAAGGAGGTTTCCCCCTCTCTTCTCCAGCGTTCCGTCTGCTTCCTCCTCGCCGGCCCGTCTTACCCTCGCCCTTAGGTTGCATCGGACTATAGGAGGTGTTGCCTCAAGCCCCTCTTTTACAGCTAGTTTTCGATTACACTTTCTTTGTTCTTTGTGTTGCATCCACATATTCAAAAAAAATAAATTTTTTTTAGGGAAGAAACGGTGTGTAATTATAATGCAATTAAATGCAAAGCTGCAAGCGAGCTGGACATGAATGACGAAAGTATAATTATAACCTTAAATTGCAAGCTTCACCCTCGTTGGTGTTCGACTGGTGGCAGCTGATAAAACCCGTTTGCTCTACTGACGTCTAACCCCTGGTTAACTCAGTTGGTAGAGCGCTCCACTTGTAATGGAGAGGTCCCGGGTTCGATACCCGGACCAGGCGGAATTTTTCGGTCGCTCACCGGTCACCTAGCTGTGTTTAGAGATTTATGTTTGTCCTTTGTCCCTCGTGTTCCCCTTCTCCAGGGATTACTTTCGTCAAACGGTGTGTAGTTTTGTGCATCTAACACCGCTGCTGCCATAATCGCGTATCGCCGTTTCGTATACCCCTTCATTTCTCTGTTCTCGTCGGCGCTGATCGCGCCTTTTGTTGTCGACAATGCGACCGCTGAATGCGTCTGATAACACTAAACTCCCTCTCAGATTCCCGGTGTTCGTGTGAATGCTGGAGTCGGCGAGGGAGTCCCGCTGGTTCGGCCGATCACTGACGTCACGGACATCCTTCATCGAAAGGCATCTCCCGTGTGAATACCCTTTACCACACCCTCGCTCTTGCCCCCTCTGACATACCAACACCACCTAAACAAGAAAGCCTAGCCTAACGTTTTGCTATCTGAGTTATGGAGCTGGAAATCGATCTGGGTTCCATCTGGATTTCAAGTTTTCAAAAATTATTTTGTCTGCAATTTGGACTTTAGGTTTCCACAAAAAAATTTCAGTTAGATTTCCCGTTCCATAATCCAGACACTAGAAAGCTATACTGTTTTTTTTTCGGTGGGCCAAGCGCAGATTTTCTTCATCGTCAGTAAAGAAGGCAACCGTGACGTCTGCGTTCAGCTAGGAGTCGTGTTCGCGCTGGTTGCACATGAATCCTAGCCTAATGCTGACACCTTAGTCGTCACCAATCTGTAGCCAAAGGTGGCCTTAAGTAACGCAGGAAAATTCGGTACTTACGCTTTCTTATTAGGAGGTGTTCGACGTACGCACAAAAGAGAATAGACCCCTCTCGAAAGTGTGCCTTATTTTAAAAGCTGTAGAATACCTGCAGAATGGCAGACAAAAAAAAACACCGGTAATGTTGGAATTTTAAAGATTCTATAATTGCCACTTTAATTTTGGCTAGCGAGGTTTTAGATTCTTAGGTCCTGTGGTGTCACTTATTCATTCCACCATTGTGCGGTGCTTGAGACCTATTAACAGTAGGCACGGGGCTTTCCAAAGTGGTTTATATCACCAGCTCCCCGACTCTTTAATCTATTAGCCGACACAATCTTCGCTTGCACTGAACACTTTACCTAAACCTGTATGTCTCTAATCTGGTCAATCAGATAAGACACACATCAAGATGAAAATGACAATAACAAAAGAGCGCAAAAAGTAACCCCAAAGACAAGCCAAAGCAACGCAGGACAAACGCTGTTGATCAGGATCACAGAAATCCGAAAAACACATCGCGGTGACTTCATTTCCATTCCTTAAAAATAAAATTAACGGTCAATGTGTGTCGCTTTGATACACCCGCTGTGGCCTATAGTCAGTTACAGGTTAAGACAAAATTTCGAGGGAAAGGAGGGCTGGGGAGGAGGAAGCAAATGGAATACTGGAGAGGAGAAAACGCCCTCCTCTCTCCAGCGTTTTTAACCTGTAACTGACCTGGCGTAACCTCAGCGGGAAGAGGGTCGTCGACCTGACAGGTGCTCGCCTGCCTTACACGCGATAGGGTTCAGACAAAAACGGACACAATTACTACTAACTCAGCGCCTCAAACGCTAATAAGATCTGTGGCTGTCCCGGTTGTAAATGAGACCCTTTTACCCATTCTCTAAACGCTCGCAATTCAACACCTTTTGCAGGGCAAAGAAGAACACGAAACTCGACACAGTCGGAGCTTCGACGGCGGCATCCACTTACCCAGCTCGCCCGGCTCGGAACGGGTGCAAAGTGCTGCGCTCGCATCGCCAGGCGCTCAGATAGGGCGAGGGGCGGGGCTAACGACCTGCCTGCACGTGGTCGCAATCGGCTCGTCGGCCAGGCTCGTGAGCGATAATGCGTGGGTATCGCCTCCTCCATACTCACAAAGCCTGGCAGTTCGATGACAGAGCCACAGAGTGCCCGGTCGCAGATTTGGAGCACAAGGATCTGGTATCACAGAGCATTTCTCGGGGAGTCTGGTATTCAGCTCTCGGCTTTTGCAGCGGGGAGGACCCGAAACATGGTTTTCGAACCCGACGGGAAAAGAAGCGGTGGCCCGAGGAACACAAGAAGCACGAGCGGACATTCCATCGCTCGGGACGAGTGTGTTTCGGCGTCTTTCCGCAGCGGGACGCCCGTCACATGACTCTCGTCTCCCGCACTACCTTTTCACTTTCGGTGACCGCATCACGTGACGATCTGCCAGGCTTTGTCAATAAAGAGGTAGAGTGTAAAGAAATTAGTTGTGTGTATGTTTATACAGCCTAGAACTTGGTCTTCCTCAACGGGCGACGAGTCTCCCAGCTGTAGATGAGCAATTTAGCCAGTGCAGTACATCCGCTAGCCTGGGGTCTTTAACGTGCACCACGCAGAAGTGATAAAGGACCGCACGCCGGTACAATCCTCATCCAGATCGATACGGGCAGGGGTGGGGGAGGTAGAGTGTACTAGAAGGAACGAGTGGGGCCACCGGAGTGCTATTTTGGTACCTCCGCGTGTGAAAAAGCGGCCAATCCAAGCCGTTCCACTCGTAGCGCCCTCTAGGACGCTACGAGCGAAGTGCTTTGGTTTAGCCACTTTTTATGAAAAACGCGTTTATGAAAAACGATAGAATGCCGGACTATATTTTTTATACAACCTAGACGCCAGGCGTCACCTACATAAAGTCACCGGGACCTGACTTGTCGTCCCAACGCCATGCGATATCAGGACGACGACTTGAAGTCAACGTCGTCATGGACGTTGACAACATGCGTTACACGACAGCAAGGCTGCGTTCTGACGTCATATTGCATTGACAACGACGACGATGTCAACGTTGACATTTATGACGACAACGACAACGTCACGGGACGTCAAGATGACGGCGTCCTTGTCAATGCAATGTCACAAGGACGCTTGGTGTCAGTTCGTTGACGACGTTGTCAACATGACGCAACTCGACGTCACGAAGACGTCCTGACAGCTTCACGACGTCGACGTCATCGTTGACGACGTTACACGACGTCATGACTTCGTCGTGACCGCGCGTCGACGTTGGTGCTGGCGAAGGCGGCGAGTTAAACGCGGTCCATGCTTTGTCGTGACGTTTACGTTCACGCTGACGCCAGGACGACGTTAACGTGACGTCATAGCGATATTTGACGTTGCGTGGGGCGTCGACGTCAACGTCGGCATCGACGACCACGTCCACGTCGTCCTCAATGTGGCGCGCGACTTCATGACCGCGTTAAAACGGAGACTTGACGTCGCGTAACGGTGTCGTCCTCAACGCGACGCGATGTCACGACCGCGTCACAACGGCCACTTCATGTCGCGTAACGGCGTCGTCCTCAACGTGACGTCACGACTGCGTTACAACGGCGGCTTGAGGTCGCCAAGGGGCGTCGTCCTCGACGCGACGCGATGTCACGACGGCCTTACGACAGCATCTTGGCGTTGCGTAACGGCGTCGACGATGACGTCGTGGCGTCGTCGTGTCGTGGTGTTTTGACGTCCCGTCTGAAGTAAAAAGCTTAAAAAATACAATATAGCCTCCAAGGGGCTATATATCTTATATGACCTTGACCTGTGTCGTTGCTTGATCGCAGCGAAGGTGGCGCTGCGATCAAAGTGCCTTGGCTCCACCTGATCGCCTTCCACATTTTGAGGTACAACTGAAAGCGTGAGCGGCGGCTACAGCTCGTCCCACTCGTACCTCTTAGCATACACTCTAAAAAAAAGGTATCACCTTACACCCTTTTGTCCCATATAATACACCCCAAAATTTTATTTCAACGTACAGCGCCCTATCGTCGAACAGACGGCCCCAAATTTTACGAGGGGCTAGATAACGGCGCGATATAACTTTTTAAATAGCTAAACTACGTTTCAAAGGCCACAGAAAGAAAACACTGAGTTTTTACAGTAGGGCCGAGAAAACCACGGTTATTATTATTATTATTATTATTATTATTATTATTATTATTATTATTATTATTATTGTTATTATTTGTAGTCAGTAACACGTACATTAGCTATTTTAATAAGTTGTAGCACACGGCTATCATGCCCCTCGTAGCATTTGGAGCCGTCTGTTCGACTAGAGAGCGCTGTATGTCGAATTGAAGTTTTCGGGTGTATTATATAGGACAAATGGTGCAAGAATACACCCTTTTACACCCTCTTTTTTGAGTATACACTCTAATAGAGGAGACTATGGTGTGGGCGAGCATAGAGTCGCGTTAAATAAGCCACGCTTGTCAAACGTCGAAACCACGTTCCCCGCATTTCTCGTGGCCGACGCCATCTCGGGGTTCAGTGCCGGGTGGGTGCGCGAGTGGCGATTCGAAAAATGGCACCAAATACCTTACTAGGGGAACGTAGGTCACTTTACTCAATAGCGTTAGACAGAGCTACGGCCGCGCCAAATCGTACCCTGGTGGGCTGGTTTATTTGGTGACGCCTCTCTCCCCACCCGTCTCCTCTCGCCGCTAGAGCGCGTGACCAGGCGAAACCTCGGAATGCGGTGCTGTTGACCGGGTCGCGGATGCGAAGACGGTACCGCTGCCGCCGTCAAACGTGTTTCCGCTCTTCTTCGCTGTCGTGTTTTTAGATGTATTCTCGGGAACTGTCCGGTATTCTCCCTGGTAAAGTATTGAACGCTACATTCCAAGCATTGGATACAACGTGAGGAACTTCGGAGCAAGATTGTTTTGCTCGGTCACAGACTGTTTGAGTGTTTCTGGAGGACGTAAAAGTATTTTCTGCGGTTTCTGATCAAACTTCTGATACCTTTCAGGTGATGATTTTAAAAGGAACAGAGGAAATGATTTTTCAACTTCTTCCTCCATAGCGTTCATCCTCAACTAAATAAACAACATGAGAAATCACGTGGTCGTAACGTAGTGTTTCGCCGGATGCGGGGACTCCGAGTTTCCACTGTGTTTTTAAGCAGATCATGGAACTCGTCATTCACAGGTGATGATAAGTGCCGGCACGCACTCATTGACCACGAACGGGATTCTATATATACGTCGACATATTGACTGTTGATGAACGCTCCTGTGGCATAGTGCTCGGCTCGTGTCCAATGCGTCAGTTGGGTTCAGCTGATGTGCTTTGGGTGCCGCGGATGCACGTGAATAGGCGGAGAGCAGTGGAACGAAAGGGGGTGGGAAATCGTCCGCTATATCTTTCAAAATTTCGCACCGCAAGGCTGGATTTTCGACTTTCTACCACCGCGTTTCTTTTTTTTCTTTTTTTTTCTTTTTTTTTACAAGGTATGCGATTAGTAAAATTCCTGTCTAAAATTATTTATCCCAGCCCGAAATTCGTTTCATTGTTCCTTTAAAGGGATGCTGAACAGAAATTTAGATTTCGCAACATAAGGCCATTGAAGCCGCTACGAACTCCAGAACATCACTCATATACGTTGATATCTCAAACGCATGGCCGTATTTTTGGGAAAGAAAGACGCGATCAAGCGAGGACTGTGAGGTCACGATCCTCCTGAAACACTGGAGAATGAGGGGAAGCGGCCTGACCTCTCCCTTCCTCGCTTCGGTTTACCTGCTCGAGGGTTCGGAGTGAAGAAGAGAGGGAATGAGAATCACAGCGTAACACATCTCGTCCCCCTGGTCGGCCGTGTTCAGTCACGCACTTCTTTTCCAAAAAATACTGCCAACCGTTAAGGCTATAGTTGCATGAGGGATGTTTTCGGGTTTTGCAGCGTCCCACCTATCGTTGCAGCTTTGTTTTGTGAGCTCTATGTTTCGGTTCAGCATCCCTTCAAGGCCAAGGTAACGTTACTCTGAAACGTAGCAATTATTCGATGGCTCTAGGTTACTCTGAGAGTACCGGTACTCGATATACCATCATTTTCTTAGAGGCGAGGCCATTTTTGCTCCTGGTGCAGAACGGGCGCTAGTTGCGATTCGAAGATGCGACTTTCCGAGCTTCGGATACAGTGTCAGCAAGTTTCGGGGGAGATCGCTGGAGAGCCCGTATTACAGACAGTGTCCAACTGCCCGGTCGCGGTCACGTAGTTTATGGGCCTCGTTTGCAATACGAACTGCGAGGAGGTGACGAACACGTCGATCGTCTGCCAACGTCTCCGCTTTCCCGTCTGCTCTCCTATTCTCCGCTCGAAAGCGCGGTGCATGCGCGCTTGCGACCAATATCCGCAGGAGGCGTCCGCCATCAAATTGAAAACGTTCATTATGGTCCGAGATGGACCATCTCTAAACTTTATGCTCTCTAGGTAACGTTTTGCTTTTCTTTGCAGACAATTTTAACATTTCAAAAGAACGTAAAAGTGTTACCCCGCGGTTTTTGAAGCAGCCTCCGATAACTGGGAACAATTATTTTAAAAAGTCACTGACACGCAAAAAGAAATATTTATTTATTTATTTATTTATATGTGCGCGGGAGATTGATTGCGATGTCAGGATACTACCCAATAGGCATATTGCTATATTACCCAAGCATGAAGGAGAATGCTGGGATTGATGTTCCACGCGCCGCACGTGCCGGCCTCAGCAGTAGTAAATTTTCTAAAGTGAAAACCTAAAACAAATTGTATCTTGCACGCGCGTTCGTCAACGCTTTATTTTGATTATTTACTTCGAACCTTTTATACGGGAAAGGCGTGCACGTGTGGCGCGTGGAACACCAATCCCTGCATTCTCCTTGATGCTTGGGTAATATAGCAAATAATCTATTGACTTATTCCAATACTCCAGGCGCCTCATCGCGGCGTAATGGCCACGTTATGCCTTGTGGGAATCAGTGGGAAGCGCAGTCTTGAATTGCAAGCTTGAAATTGCAC